CCTTTTTTTCATCCTCCACAAAATTCAGAGCTGATATGTCCAGTTGACTTGGAAACTGACTTAGGCCTCCACATTCATTATTTTTGATAATAAAGGTGTTAGATCAGATTAATGATTTAAAACTAGTGTATGTTTGAGAGTGGAAGAAGGAGGTTTAAAATTAATTTATAGGAATATAATCCACTGGTCATTTTCACATTTCATCAAAAAACATTTTAGAGGGTGTCTCAATAGTAATTGATCACATTGAGGTGACAGAATGTACCATTACTGCTTCACTAATAGAAGAAAGTCATTAATCTCCTTTTAGGTCGAGACCTTCAGTATAACCTGACAATTTATCATGTATCAAGGAATTAACATATTTTAAAAATTATAAAGAAGCAGCATGCCAGTATACCATGGATTCAGTTGATGTTGCAAATCAAATAATGTCATCCATATCAATATGTTATACAGTTCTTATTATTACCACATAGAAAAACACTTTAGCTAATCTGGTTACCCTTTTCAAAATCTCTTACTATTTAACTAAAAATGTAAATTTTTTTTAACTTGTTTATGAACCACTGGGATAAATACAACTAATAATTCCATATTATATAGACAACATACAATACGTCTTTGTCTTTTAAAAACAATGTATATAACACTACACATTTTTTAAAATCTGGGTGATTTAAAGTTTTTTGTTTTTTTTGTGTTTTTTAAATAAATTAGGTATATCTGAAATGAAGTTGCCACAGCTGCCTAATCCAATGTTAGTGGAATGATTCTGTTTAATTCTTGGATTATCATATTTCACTTGTAGAATTTCATATCAATATTTTAGTTAACAATTTATATTATCTAGTAATTAATAACTTGAATGAGTTTCCCTTTGCATTATATGCTAGTTTTCTATAGTACATAGCTATCAATTTAATTTTTTTCTACTTGGTTTGAAAATATTTTTAGAAAATAAACTCATTAAATGAACTTTATCTCTAATTAATGATGCATTGATCATATATTTATGAATAATATTTCATTTAAACCAAAATATTTTAGAGCCCTTTTTCTAGTATTAATATAAAGCTAGCATGCATAATAATAAAATTGCAATAATAATTCTAGTGATATAAATTTTAATTTGCCACTAAGTCAATTTAAAAATATTTATGTTGATTAAAGTCATACAAATGGGATTTGCAAGCCCTTCTATGCTCTTACATTCAATGCATATGCTATTGCACTATGCTGAAGGTATTGTGCTGTGCCAAATCCCTCTTTTTCTCCTGATACTGCAGTGAATAAGGATAGCACAGAAAGAGCTCAGAACCTCAGGGAGGAAGGTCACCATCAATAAACAGCTGTATGCATTCAAGGCAGGTATACAGGAGAGACAACTTCTTAAAATTAGAGCAGTTTTACTTCTAAGCATTAGTGCTTCTGTTTTTCACATAAGAGAAAGTAAATAAGAAATAGACTTTCCTAGAACACTCAGTTATAGCACTAGAGAAAGAGAGAAAAAAACCTTGAAGTCAATAGAATTTAGGTCACTGCTAAATTAATATTTTCTCTATGGATATTCCTCTACCAATCATTTTTATACACACTTCACATCTAAGTTTTTAGGGTGAAATATATTGAAAATCTCGCTTTTCCATTGAAGCTCCATTAGCAGGAACAAACTCCACTGCATCAATGTCTAAGAAACTATTTTAAAGCAAGGAGGAGATTGTGGGACCTTTGTACCCAACAACAAATCATCCTGATTTTATTTTTAATTCATGCCTGATGCACCCTTTCCACAATGCCCCCTTGACTTCTGCCTCCCCAGAAGTTTAAATCTCTGCAACATGTGAAGTTGGTAACCAAGACATGGGTAGCTCTACCTTAGTTTTTTCTATAATGTGTGGTGCTGAGCGTATTTTGTTCTTCATATATCCTAAATAAATTGGCCTCAGAGGTCTAAACAGGGCTTCACACACTGAACTTGCATCCCTCCTAACACCATCTGTATGTCCATTACCATATTCCTTTATTTATATCACTCATGTTTTGTATATGGGAAATAAATTGAGAGAAATTACATTTCTCTTTCTTATTGACCCAGGAACCAGAAATTATGAATATTTATTCTTTTCTTATAGAGTCAACAGCAGTGTTTGTCCTGTAATCTTTATAAAATATTGCGAAGAAGAATATGAAGGCCTTGTTTCATATATATATTGGCATTCTTCAAGTTATGAAAATCCGTGCTCAATAAACTCTGTGTTCTCTCTTCTCTTTCCTCCATCTCCCATGATCTTACCCACAAGAAAATAAACATGCTGTCTCCTATCTGAACGAAGGAGGATCCTTTATTTGATCTTAGAGCAACAGTCTTTTCTCCTATTCATCTTCACAGCCGAACTGTCTGAAAGTGTAGTCCCTACATTTTGTTTACTTTGTGATACGGCTTGGTTTTGTGTTCCCCATCCACATCTCACCCTGAATCGTAATAATCCCCACATGTCAAGGGAGGGACCCAGTGGGAAGTAAGTGAATCAGGGGCACGTTTTTCCCATGCTGTTCTCATGATAGTGAATAAGTCTCATGAACTCTGATGGTTTTATAAAGGGGAGCTCCCCTGAACGTGGTCTCTTGGCTGCTGCCATGTAAGACGTGACTTTGCTCCCTCATTCATTTTCCAACATGCTGTGAGGCCTCCCCAGCTGTAAGGAACTGTGAGTTCATTAAACCTCTTTCCTTTATAAATTATCCAGGCTTGGGTATGTCTTTATCAGCAGGGTAAGAACAGACCAATACACTTTTCTTCACATCAAATTCATTCTTGAACCTATAGTAATCCAGGTCTGTCCAATGTTAGCTTGGAAAATCTTATGATTCAGGAAAACCCTCATTCCTAGACAAATTGGAAAAGTTGCTCACCCTAAACTCCTCCTCCTCCCCGCATAATCTTCACCTCCACTCATTCTCCAAATTTTGATAAACTTCCTATGTTTAATGCATTCTCTCCTTTTCATCTGCACTATTTCCTAGCTCAAATTCTCATCCACTCATAGCCCATTATATTAGATTCCTCACATGACTGATTCCCTTACTTCCTTATCAAGATCATCTTTCTAAAAAGGGGAGAAATAAAAGTAAAATTCTAAGGCCCTCCCCCAGCCAACTGAACGAAGCATCTCTTAGCCAGCAGGACCCTAGAGTAACCTTGAAAACTGAGCTCTCAGCCAGGACAGGATGGTATTCAGACAAGCCTCCTCATACTCCCTCCCTTGATAATGACCATTAGCCTTGCTTCCCTAAGGGCTAAACAGAAACCAGCCCTTCCTTCCTTCCTTTATTTATTTATTTTTTTTAAATGGAGTTTTGCCCTTGTTGCCCAGGCTGGAGTGCAATGGCGTGAGTTTTGGCTCACTGCAACCTCCACCTCCTGGATACAAGCGATTCTCCTGCCTCAGCCTCCCAAGTAGCAGGGATTACACGCATGCACCACCACACTCAGCCAATTTTGTATTTTCAGTGGAGATGGGGTTTCACCATGTTGGTCAGGCTGGTCTGGAACTCCTGACCTCAAGTAATCCACCTGCCTCGGCCTCCCAAAGTGCTGGGATTATAGGTGTGAGCCACTGCACCCAGCCCAAACCAACCCTTTCAAAAGACCTCAAGAAATCAACCAGTGGAGGCGGAAGTTGCAGTGAGCAGAGATCGCAAGACTCAGTCTCAAAAAACAAAAAAAAAAATTATAAGGTATGAAGATGTGTGGTTTTTTTAAAGTAATTTTCTCCGTTTTGGAGGTTAAATCAACCAGCCACCTGATACTGCCCTTCCTCTTTTAGCCTGGTAAGAGATCAGTGACCAAGAAGTGGTTCTGGTCAGTCTGTGGAGCATGTTCAGTAAGGGTTTTCATGTCTTCTACTTTACCTTCTGATGTCAGGCAGGTGAAAACTCCAGGCTTGGATCATGCTAAACTGTCATTTTTGGTACATGGGACCCATGAAGGGGCATGAATGTATATTGTGCATCTGCATGATTCACCTTTCATAAATAATCATGACTCCTCCTCAAGCTTATGAAATATTGACATAGCCAACTCAGCATAAATTCCTGTTCCCCTTGCTTTTCCCTTGAAGTATCTGTTTCTGGCTTCTGGCTGGAAGCTATGATTTCCAGCTTGTCCGAACAGCGACCCTGCAGACTGTAATCCCTTATGAGGAATTTATTTTCCAAATTTATGAACCTTGTCATTCTTCAGTTGACAAGGTAAATCTAATTATGTTGCCCTGTTTGCTTAATGCTCTTTAATTTCCTCAGAAATAGTTTAACACTTTAATCTAATATGTCATGATCTTGTTTTTGTCTCTCTGTACACTCTTGCCTATCATGCCTCTTTTTCCTTAAGCTCTATCCATTTACATCATTACTGTCAGAACATGCCACTGCAGCCTCACATCTCTATGACTTTGAGCATGTATTGCCCTCTCCTAGAATCTACCCCTCTCCAGATGACCTATACATCCTACTTACCCTCTAGATCTTAGCTCAAGCATAGACTCCTTTGAAAGTCATCCACACTCTTCCAGCAGATATGGGTTCTCCTTCTTGCTTTCCCCTGGACTTACACATAGTCTTCCATTTTATTAACACATGTCTCATTTCATCAAAATGATCTCTTGTTTCTCTTCCTTTACCTAGCTATAAGATCCTTAAGGAGAGGCACAGTGTGTGTTTCCCTTTTGTATCCCGTGAACCAGCAGAGCTTCTATCTCTATAAACAATTGTCGAAATAATGTTTAATGAGATAATCATATTATTTTTACCTGATCACATTTGGGAGGCAGAATGGATACAAATGCATAGAAAGGATCTTGTAATTATGAACTTTTTACTGTTCTTTTGCCCAGAATGCCCTTACACAATCACTTTTTAAGTCATATTCCATACCCAAAGAATTACCAAGAATAATCAGACTTATCGAAACCCGGGAAAACAGTGGATGATTTACTTACTGTTCTTGCATCCCATATAGACAGGGTCTTGTCTGCGGAACTTGTAAGAAGAGTATTGGAGAAAGGAAAAAACTCAATGCTGTTCACAGAATCTGTATGTCCATACAGCGTACATCTGCATCTTTCACTATAAAGAGAGAAATTAAGAATTTTAGGAGTTAGTATCTATGCTGTCTATACAAGGCTAATACAAATAATTTAAGGAACTGAGGCATAAAATAATTTTATTAATGGCAAAAATTTTACAACAACATTTTAAGAGTAAAATTCTACAGCTACCTTATATTCTCAGCACTTTATAGGATTAGCAGTATAAAACTAAACTTAAATTACCTTCAATTTATGGAATCACTTGGTAAAGTCATCTTTATACTATCACATTTATTCTTTACCATGAAATGACAGTATAAAAATTATCCCCATATAATAGAGGAATATGTTAAGACAATATTGCACTAATTCATAAGACAAACTCTTTTAGTCATTACTTTTCTTAATTGTATCTCAGACTTGGTTATATACTGGAACCAACTGAGGCACTTCGGTGGCTACCAGAGACTGGGGGAGGGAGAAGGGAGGGGAAAATAGGGAGAGACTGGTCAGTGGGTACAAAGTTACAATTAGATAGGAGGAATAAATTTTGGTGTCCTGTTGCACAGTAGGGTGACTATGGTTAACAGTAAAATATTGTATACTACAAAACAGTTGGAAGAGAGGCTTTTGAAAGTTCTTGCCACAAAGAAATGGTAAATGCATGAAGTGATGGATACACTCACTACCCTGATTGGATCTCTCTACACCACAGATATGTATTGAAGCATCAAATTGTACCCCATATGTACAATTATTAATGCACTGATTAATTAATTAAACCAAAAAGAAAAAGAAAAAAATACTCACACCCAGTCTCAAGCCCCAGACATTTTATGCCGATTGATGATGGAGCCTGGGAATTAATTAGTGGATTCATGCCTTCCCTGGTAATTATAATAGGCCTTTAGGGCTGAGAATTTAAACCAGTGGTTTTTAAAGTTTTTTTATCCAGACTAGCAGTATCCCTGTCACTTGGAAATGTGTCTGAAATGCAAATTCTCAGGCCTCATCCCAAACCTATTGAATGAGAAACTCCGGAGGAGGCCCCAACAATCTGTGTTTTAGCAAGCTCTTCAAGTGATTCTGATACATGTTAAAGTTTGAGAACCACTAATCTAAACTATTAGAAATGACCCAGAAGAAAGGGACAACTGCAGCTGTGTTTTTTTGCCGTATTATGAAAGGGCTGTTTCTCGATGAAATAGGATATACACAGAGCAATATCACTCCTCATGTGTAATGACTGATTGCTCTTAAATAACTTTATTTATAAACTTATTTTTAAAATAGAGAAAAAATAGAATCAGGATAACTAATAAGTACTCAAAACAGAGGAGTCAAGATAAATGCATTCCTAATATAATAATCAGATAGTTGTCCGTGTGTTGCAACTCACACCTGTAATCCAAGCACTTTGGGAGGCCACGGCAGCCAGATCACCTGAAGTCAAGAGTTCGAGACCAGCCTGGCCAACATGGTGAAACCTCGTCTCTACTAAAAATACAAAAATTAGCCTGACGTGGTGGCATAACGCCTGTAATCCCAGCTATTCGAGAGGCTGAGGCAAGAGAATTGCTTGAACCCGGGAGGCAGAGGTTGCAGTGAGCAGAGATTGAGCCACTGCACTCCAGCCTAGGTGACAGAGCAAGGCGCTCTCTCAAAAAAAAAAAAAAAAAAAAAAATATATATATATATATATATATGTACACACGTATGTATAATATATATGTATAAATCAGATAGCTAATCTTTGATTAACTAGTTCTTCTGTGGCTTGAACCACGCCATGTACAATAATATAGTACAGCAGGCAAAACTCTGCAATGGGAGCCAGGAGACTGAATTCCAGTCCTGACTGGCAAGAACTAGCATGGTAACCATAGAAAAATTGTTTAATTTTGGTCGTAAATTTTCTTCTTGTGTGAATGAAATTATTTACTTGATGCACTCAGTGATCCTGTCCAGCTCCTACATTCTGAGATCAAACTTAGAAATGTAAAATGGGAAGGAAGAAGTCAACTTGAGTATAGCGTATATGAACTGTAAGAAGCAAAATACCCTTCCTTCCTTAAATGTCGGCATTTTTGAGACATCAAAAAATATAAAAATTTGCATGTATATGAATATGTATGTAAATGATTTAGCAACACTTCCCCTTTCTCATCAAAGCTAAGTATTACAGTAATAAATATTTGGAGCAAATCAATACATCAGGAATATTTTGTATTAGTTTCCTTACCTCAATATTTCACAGATAGGCTGATGGTATTTTAACCACTAAAGTTGATGATGTGTACACCAGGGGTCAAAAACCATGATGCTGAACTGACTGCTTATTTTTGTAAATACAGTTTTATTGGAATATGCCAATCTGTTTACACATTATCTATTGCTGCTTTCCCACTACAGTAGCAGAGCTACATAGCCACAACAGAGACAATATGGTCCACAAATCAAAAATAGTTAACTCATAGCCCTTTGAAAAAAGTTTGCTGAACCAAGAAGTATACCAACTTATTTGAATATTTAGACGTATACTTGGGTTTTACTTATGACGTTTAATCTTTTTTGAAGGAAGTCCCAACACTCACAAAATAAGTTATTTCTTTTAAAAAATTACTGTTTTATGTACAAATTTTTTCTGCTATTTTTAATGAATCTAAAAATGTAAGTATGAACATTTTTAAAGTTTCTATTCCAAAGCCCACTATCTTGAAATAATCACCTTTAAATATTAGTATAATTACTCTAGTTATAGGTCTATGGAGAGACAGTGAGGTAAGGTAGGAGAGAAAGAGAGAGATAAAAATTAAGAATTGTATTTCTATTATATTAAAATGGTGAATTATTAAACTAAATTATATGACATTTAACAATAAAATAAAATAACTAAAGGCTTTGCTGAAAGTCAAGTAGATACTTTCTTGCTACAAGACAAGAGCTATCACTATCTAAAAGATATCGTTAAGAAAAATATTAAAGTATGCTATTTTAATAACATTTCATTTTTAAAAGTATATTGAAAAAAGGAAAATAATGTATTTATATTCCTCCCACTTTCTTTTTACTCACCTCTGAAATTTAAAAAATCTTATTGTTAAATTTAAAATATCAAAAATCATAACATATTTTGATCTGTAATCACAAAGCTCAAATTCAGTGTCCCTCCTTCCCCATCTTCCTAGTGTTTAATATATGTTTAATCCTCTGCATCCATACTTTTAGACAGTTTAATGATTATTCAGTACTTCAACAGCAGTTTTCACTGATTATAATTTCTTGGGCCACCTGACCTCCTCAAATGTTTGTGGAGAAACGGTTCACTGTTAGAGTACTGCAAAGTTTGAGGTCAGTCCAATCTCTCCAATTACTCCCACCCAACCTTCTTTAGGGCTTGTTTGCTGTTTATGCCTAAGAGCCCTTACAGTTTCTTTCCCAAATACTGAAGTTCAGAAATTTTAGCACAGCATACCCTAATAGAAAGCCCCAGCTATTATTCCTAGACTTTTATTATTCCAGGAAAGTTTCTTCCCCTGTGTCTTTTTTCTCTTTCTCTTCAATTTAGCCCATTTATTTTGTTTAGAAACATTATGTTCTTTTTTGTCCTTCCCCTGTGTCTTTTTTTTTTCTTTCTCTTCAATTTAGTCCATTTATTTTGTTTAGAAACATTATGTTCTTTTTTGTCTAATTTGCCTTTACATTTAACATTTTCTCTACAATCCTTATTTTTTTCATTTTTAATATCTGTTCTTTATAACTCTCAATTATGTTTATTCTACTTGTGTGTTGGGTAGGGGGAGGGCAATCAAAAGCTTTTATTTCTGTTTTCTAGCTCACTTGTTTCTTGATCTTTCTCAGTCTGCTTTTCATTTGCATCTATTATCTTATAAATCATAAAATATTTTAACTCTTTTGACATTTTATTATATAAGACAATTTAAAATATAGCATTTCAGTAATTTCTTTGCAAATAGAGTGTTTTGTCTGAATTATTGATTTCATATCTTTACTTAGGTGATTCCTTTATGCACTGCACGTTCTTCACTGAAATTTGGGGTTTTATTCATTAACTCTTCAATTTTTGCAATTCTTTATAAAATCTGATTGGTTTCTTTTTATTTTGACTTATGAAGACAGCTATTGGGGGATGGCTATTTTCTAAAGATTAATGGCAAAAGGCGGGAAAATGGGAAAATTAATTGGCAGAAGGAGAGAAAGCCACTGACTTCTATTCAGATTTGTTGTCTCCCACAAAATCTTTTCACCTCATGTGCTGTTGACCTGATCCCTGAAGTTTATCTCTTCTCCATTTTCTTACTTTACTTTCAAGTACAGATGTAGTATGTTGCAATACCCCTAACGTCACAGGCTCTATTTTATCTCTGAATGCGCCTGCCTCCCTCACAACCCCCATTCTGCCTGACCTATGGCAATTTGCTTTATCTCTTTTATCTAACAATAAAAATGGCTTGTTAGGATTTATGCTTCCAAGTATGATAAAGTAACCAGTTTCTGTACTTCTTTTACAATAAGCAACTGTAAAATTACACACATTATCTAAAGTAAGTTTTTACTGGCATTGAACTAAACACATAGCACAGGACTATAATCTTTAAGAGAAAGAAAAACTGAAAATGAGCTCTGTAACCTCCATGACTTTCTGCTTGGATGCACTCTTTACTATCAAATACAGAAATAGAGCCCAGTAGAACTGAAGTTTCACTGAGTTGAGAAGCAGTGAGAAAAGTCTAGGCTTCTGAGTTGCTTAAAATTTGGAGTGTAGGGTAGCTGACAAAAGGGAGCTGAGCTGGGAATGACAGCAGTTTGTGTGAGGATTCACCATGAATTTTGGGCAAAGGTCTAGATGGCATTTTTATAGAGTAAAATTCCACAAAGTCTAGCAGAGATTTCCTGCTCTATAGTTGACAGCTGAACAATAATACCAGAGATTAGCTACTGCTAGAAAGAATACTCTAGAGTTTAATCCTGGGTGAAGTGGAAAGAATTTACTGCATACCTCAGACTCTCACTTGG